TGTAAGTCACAGTGACCCACATACGTAAAGTACAAAGGCTAATCTGTCTAGGAATAACAGGGGCGTTGTCAACCCTGTCTCACTGCAGCTTTAGAGGCACTATTGAACATGCCACCTCTTCACCTATATGTGAAAAAAGAGGCCAGAATAGATGCCTTAGGCTGTGCCGCATCCGCCATCCTTCAATCTATAAAGCTGCCAAAGTAAATCAACAGATCATGATAACATCACTGGACTTTGACATTCCATATAAATGAAAGCAAGCGGACAACGCATCATTGTGGTACACAGATGATGGTTGGAAACTAACGGAAGGAGTCAGTCTGGGAATAACTGGACCAAACTTCAAACTCTCCTTAGCAATGGGTAAAAGGCCCTCAATACGGCAAGATGAGGTGGCCATAAACATTGGTGCCCGTGAGTTAAAAAAGGGCCTTATAAGAGAGCACATTTACATACTGTCCGACAGTCAAGCGGCTCTAAAGGCTCTAAAAGTCATCAAGTGCAATTCGCAGCTAGTTTGGGAGGGTAAAAATATCCTGGCTGGGAGGAACAAAGTAACTCTGATGTGAGTGCCAGGACATCAGGGCATAGAGAACAACGAGGAGGCAGGCAGGCCGTCACACAAAGCAAGGCACTGTAACACCTCTTCAAAATCCAGAGTCTTTTGGTGGACTAATGAAAAGCCACGCTTCCAAAGAAATGAACAGATGGGAGAAGGTCCGAATTCTAGCTCATTGGAGATCCATTCCGGATCTGAGACAGACAAAAACGTTCATATCCATCTCAGCAAAGAGATCTGAACCATTTCTTGACATGAACAGAAGAGACATTAGAACAGTCGTTGGTCTGCTCACTGGGCATTGCCTAAAAACAATAGGCAAATCAGACACTGCGGATCTTGATGCGAACAAGCGATAGAAACTACAGAATATGTATTATGTGTGCTCAGTACTTGAGGAGTATCTCTCTTATTTTAGGTCCTATGATAAGGTTGAGAATTCGTACAATAAAAATAGGGTCATCCCTGAAGACCCCCCCTGAGATGTAGTCAGATTAGGAACATTGACCCCAACTTGGGAAAATTTAATTTTAAAAACTTTGTAATAGCGAAGAATATGAGGGAATGGAACAGTTTCCGCGCTCATGTTCAACAATTGAAAAAGTGCCACAACTTATAACTTTTGATCCCCAGCATTCTCATAATTTCTGAGAAGGTGCGCGACAGACAAAGTACTGAGTGGATGCTGTCGTCCTGAAATATTCTGATTGTTTGTTGTTATAGAAATATAAAAACCCAACCATTTGAATCAGCATTAGATTCGTAATAATATCGAACTTTATAACTACTCGAAATTTTTGAGTGTAGGTAGGGTAGGTGCAACCTACGGTGAATGCCGCTTTAAAGAATTTCGGCTTTTGCGAAATAAAGGTTCATTAAAAATGACCCTAGTATATACTTACCTAATATAAAATATTACAACATATATATATATTTTTTTTTAAATAGGTAATTATTATTATTCCATTCCTTTAGACGAAGAAACTCATGGCATTGAGTGGAGAACAAGAGCCGACAAACAAAACCGAGGATGACCTCCCACTCGCTGGACAGACGACCGAAAAAGGATCTTATCAAATTGGATCGCAACTGCTCAGAACAGAGGAAATTATTGGAAAATCTTAGAGGGACGTGAAAACAGGGTGTTTGATGATCGATGATGATTCCATTCCTTTATAAGAAAACTCCTCCCATCAGATTCAAAATGCGGCTATGTTTAATAAGCAATCTATTGTCAAAGGAAATTTAATATGAATCTGCATTGAATACACAGATATTATTATTAATCAACCCTAAACAATAGCGTTCTACAAATCGAAAAGATATTCTCCCATGTCCAGTACAAATATTTAGTTAGGAAGAAATAATAACAAAACATCACCCAATTGGACCATCATCCAGAAAAAAACCCTCCGTTAAAAAATAAACTTGCGAACCTAATGAATACAATATGAATTTTAAAACTCTACAAAAGAGTTTCATTTTGCATATGAATGGCGGCCTCCACATATGTATCCTGTAAACGTCATTTTTAAATAGATTTCCACCCCTAAAAATGGCATTAAAGGCATATCATAACACATTGTGCTTCATACTGTTTATGTAGTGGGGCAGGCCACTCATGTTTTATTCAAAACCGTATATTGAGATCATCTATATGGCCCCCGTAGTACATTTAATAATGTGATGGACAAGTGACAGTCTACAGCTGCCGTTTCACGCTTATATGGAATTTCAAGTGTTTTCATATACGCAGCACCTTCTTATTGGTCGGGGTTTGAAATTTTGTTTTTTTTTGAAGTTTGTTTTTTTCCGAGGCCAACCATCAAACGGTTTGTTTAGATTCCCCCTTTAATGAACCATTGTGGCGGAATAACATTTAGTTTTATCTCTGATTGTGTGCCAGCTGAATCGAATTTAATTGGAATCAATTTATTGGACGGGAATGTCAGTTTAATTTAATTTCTTTTCTATGATGGCTGATGGTTAAAGATAGAGTGTGATTTTATTGGATTTAAATTTTTTAATGTAAACAAGGCATTGGTGAGACGCATTTATTGAAGTTTGACTATTTGGATTGGAGTTTAATTGGAGAGAACATTTCAAAATGGAATTTCCACAGATTAACTGCCAGTAAAATAAACTTATCCAGACTCTTCCGAAACTAACAACTTTAAACCTTGCCCCATCTTTGGCTATTACGATAAGCTGTTTGACCATCTTCCCAGTCGCAGTGATTGTCGGTCGGTATACATTGTACCAATGAGGTAAAATCATTTCAAATATAGGTAAGTAGGTACCGACAGGGGATATAGGTATACCTATGTACATCCGATTCATACTTGGAGTTTATCATATTCCTGTTTGCCTTAATGCCTTGGAATAACCAAATAACACCTAACCTAGAAGCTTTATTGGCAGATCAGATTCTTACCAAATTATGGCGATATCATCCGTGCGAGTAAACCAATATACTTATGGTAATAGCAAGATATTTTAAGCAACCTCGTGGTGTTCTTGTCCATGATGGGGGAAAGTAAAATCGTATCGTTCTTGTCCTCAAGAAATAAGGGGCATTTCTGAATTAAGTATACGTTCGGTAGTTTTGCAAAAAGTGCAGAGGTCATTATTGCGGCGATCTTGGTTATTTTCATAATTAGGATTATCCGCTAAATATGCAGAATTCGGTTGTGAACTACCCTATATTTATGAACGCGAAACTTTGTCTATGTTATCTTGAGTTGAAAATCCGAAATCCCTGCCTGATATGCTACTATAGACCCAATATTATTTTATGATACTTATGAAAAGTTAACTTGATTGTGTCTACACTCTACACTCTACATGCTCGTATCTTTTTTCCGTTTTCCGAGCTGTTGTCAAACACAAAATGAAAATAAGCATCAGAAGAAGACTCTTGTGCTACTTTTGACACTTCACCCCATGCGGTTAATTTCGACATTCCCAAGGTTTTTGGCTTTCTTTAGGTAATAGTTTATCTTCATCCGAGTCTTCATCAAGCAGAAGTCTTTTTGCTTTTATCAATTTTGTTATAATGGAAAAAATGGCAATAAACATAAATAAATTAGAATCTCAAAGATAGGTAGAAAAATATATGTAGGTAGATATATTTTAGGGCAGCTGTTCGAGTACAAAGTACTTATTATTCAAAAATAAATTCAAGCATAAAAAGTAGAAATTCCTCAAGGTGTTTTATTTTGTAAACAAACCACAAACCATAATATAACAAATGGAATGGTCGGAGATTGTTTATAAATTATTGGGACCGAGACTTTCAAGAAAACTATTCGGATGAAATAATGGTAATTAAATGCACTATTTCATGCTACTTTTTGTAAATCAAAAACAAAAATCGATAAATAAATATAAAACCAATGTAAAATAATACAGATTGTTCTGCTAACGGTGCTAACTCTCTCTAAAGCTCGAAGTATGAATTATTTATTTTTTTAAACAAGGAGTCTTACTTCTGAAATTAGTGCATCCAATTAGCGTTGTTATTTAATTATTTAAATAATTTCGGATTCATTATATTCGAGCTTCGCCAAAAGAATGTGGCTTAGATCACCACCTCTAGCACCCAAATAGCCAGAAGCCTCCAACTGGTCCATCTTCGGAAATATTACTGTGAAGGATGGTACCCTACAACCTTACTCTAGTTTGACATTAACCTCAAAATGAAGGCTAAAAAAACAAGACATATTCACATTCTCTCTACCTATACCTACTATAGAAAAAAATTAGCAAGCTGCATCACTTTTTCAAACAGCAGCAGACAGCTCCAAGAAAATTAACCTTTAACACACATTTGTATATACCCTTTCTTCAATTTTTACTCCACCTGAAACCCACTGAAGCGTAAACAAGTAGTCACTGGACTCCAACTTAGTGGTTTCTCAAGATTGTCATCCATCAAAATTATCAGCAGAGTGCTAACTACTGTGCACCTCGACCAGTCTCGTTTTGGGTCATGATTACTGTTTTCCCAAAAAATTTGAGCTTTTTGTGCAGGTAACCGGAGGCCAAATATTCTTGTTTGCCGAAGGGCGCCACACGATAACCGAAGTAAATCTTGGCGTGGTATTTTTGCTTTAAATTAAACTTATTAAACTAAGATTAATTATATTGCTGATATCATTTACCATCAGACAGAATAAAATCCCTCAAAATCCGAGACCTCAGGCCGCACGAATTGTGTGCCAAGAAGAGATAAAAGCAATCAGCAGAGACAATCTCTTAGAAATTATGTAACTTGAAGTATCTATTCTGCGAACAGAATGAGGACAATGTTAGACGAACAAAGGCCGCTTAAAGAGACATCTTTCGGCCTATTGTTCAGTATTGAATCGCGTTTGTCTCTTGTTGAACAAAAGAACAGTTTGAACAGAAATAAACTTTTGCAATAAAATACGCTTACCTAATCTTTTCGATATCTCCGAATTGTGCATCTTGGGATTCTCCTGAGCGATTTTGCGTCTTTGCAGCCTGGACCATACCATGAAAGCGTTCATTGGTCTTTTAATGTGGTCGTCTTGCTTTTTGGCCGCTTGAGAGGCTTGTAGACCTTGATGAGACATACCGATCGGGGTGGCTCCCAAGGAGGCCATCCTTGAGAATCCTTCGGCGGCATTGAAACCGCCCTCACACATCTGACTCACAGATCTGGAATTAATAAAGATTATAGCACCTACTCATTTCATAGATATTGAAAATTGAGCATAATGTGTTGTCATTACTTAGATGTTATTACAAGAATATATAAATACCTACTCAAGAATTTAAAGTTTTTCTAAAATTTCAGTAATTTTACAAAACTTATTCATATCTAGTTGTCTTTTTAGGCCACTTGTTATTCCCTGGGTACAAAATCCGGTATTAATTTTGATGGGTTTCCTTTTATATGCGTTCGCGCCTTTTCATATTCATAAAGCAAAGCCACAAAAGCCTCATATAAGCCTCCGATGGCGCGGGAGCCCCCGTTGTAGAAATAAGATTTTATGTTTACGTTTCATAAAGTCGTATTTACACAGCCCCGGGCATAATGTTTATTTTCACGAACGTGTTTCAACTTAGGAGGATATTCTGCATGGCGATGTCTAATTACCATTTTAACTATTGTTTAAAATCCGTTCATGTTTACTTCGCTGTCGACAATTTTTTCTTATTCAAATTTAAGTGTTTTCCGAATCGTTATTTATCCTGAGAATGTGTAATCAATACACTAGTAACGGCGTTGTCGAGTGTGTAACCACTTGTCAGTACCGATTGTTCGAGTACCTACACTACCAAACGGCTTCATTTTAAATTTAAATTTTATGCAATTTGTCAATGGTAAAGATATAATTATTTGATAAATAAATAGCCTCAATATTTATTGTTTATTCATTTAAATTAAATAATTTATTATTAACCCTTTCGAAAAAATCTAATGTCCAGTCCTAGTCGCATGCTGTCAAATTAATTGAATGTGTGTTTCCGGGGGCATACTTGAATTCGGCCATAAACCATCAGGTAGATGGAGTAGGTCATTGGATGCAGTAATCCTACACTTGAATTCGGCCAAAAATCTACGAGGACCTTTTTTTATGACACTTGAATTCGGCCAAACCATAAAACCCAACCTACTGCCCATAAAACGCACCTTATGGTGTTGATAGATAAATTTAACTACAGCTTTGTGATTCGGTTGGATAGCTAACAACTCAAAAACAAAGAAATCGCTAACTTCTTGACTCTACAAAAACATCATTCCGAAACAATAATGTAACCATTTACCGATTTCTGATTTTTTTTTTTTTTTTTTTTTTCATATTCAATACTTATGCCTGGGTTTTGATCCTCCTCCACCATGCCTGAGATTTTAGCTATTTATAAAAAGTAAATAAGTTGATTTAACACGTTGACTGCCGATCACTCCGATCAGAGTTTACTGGCACCTATCGGCGACGCCAACTACTCCGATCGGCGTGTTGTGCATGCTCAATTTGTGAGTCTACATTCAGTAGGCGTTGGCGAGAGAATCGCAGTCGCTCCGGCGTCCTTCTAAATGCATTTCTCCAGCACGTGTTTAAGTTAGTTCCGCGTTTTTTATTTTTTGTGTCGCTAAACATGGATACCAAATAAAACGAATAAAACAACGGCGTCCTAGAATGCCTCAAAAAATATGGTCGGCAGTCTTACGTGCATGTGTGCCAGCTTAAGATTAAGCTGGCACACTCTAGTTGGATAAGGTCGAATCTTCGAAAATCTAGTACCTCATATTTAGTGCTAATTTAGTACATTCATGTCACGCCTAAAAAACTAACAATGATGTATTTATTACAGAATAACCACAAAAAAGTGCTAATTCAAGACTTGAATCAGCACACATAGATCGAATCGACCGCACGAGAACGGAATTCGCATGCCCATATTTAGTGCTAATTTAGTACTTCAAAAACGACGACCCGAAACGAACTAGTATCACATCAGCACAGAGCTAACCCAAACTAACCCAAAATAACCCGAACTAACCCGAACTAACCCAAACTTACGTCCGAAATTAGCACTAAAAGTGTGGTAATTTAAATTAGCACTAAATAGGCCCAAATTTAGTACTCTAGTTTTTCTGATGTGTGCTGTTTTTGTTGTGCTAATTTAAGGAACCATGAAAACCCGTCACATGAACGGTTTCGAAATCGCTCTGTATGCGAGTTTCTGATTCTACACACAAATTTAAAGCTCTGCGCAGGAACGTGACGTTACACGGTATGGTTTCCTGGTGTGTAGGAACAAAACTATTAGCAGAATATATACCTACCATTGTCAGCACGGATTCCGCGGGGCCACTAAAAGTCTCTTCACCAAGGTCTTCACCAACAACATTAACTTTTATTCAACTAATTGACTGCACAAATTGGGAAATACTTTCAACTGAGAAATCTCTAGAATCAATTTGATAATGCTTGTTCATTTAAATCACAATGGAATTCTTAAATATTTGCGCTCGACTTCAAACAAAGGCTCAATCAAGCCAATTTTCATCGAGATTCGACTTTAAACTAACTCAATCAAGCCAATTTTCATTGAGACTCAACTTTAAACTAACTCACCAGTGGCGTCGGCTTCTCCGCACCAATTTTCTACGTGTTTACCAGTTTACCTATACTCAGGTCCATAATCATTTCATCTATTATTATCCAACTTCCTACTATCAGCAGTGCGTACTATGCATTTATACTATGCATTTTAGAGTCTTTAGAACCATATCTATAGCTATTCAGCTATATTTCTTTAATATTAAGGTTTAAGCTGGATTTATAACTTCCGTAACGTAGGCAGTAAGCAGTAAGAAGTAAGGACGTATGCCGTAAGAAGTATCAGTAAAAACATCTTGATTTATAGCTGAATTTGCTGTGACAGTAAAAACTTACGCGTGCGCAATATGATTTTATTTGAACCAATAGAAATCGGTGAACCTTAAGTGTCATATTTGTCAACTGTCGACTCCTTCCATAATTTTGTTTATGTTTTTATTCTTGAGTTTATAGAGAAAATTTGGAGTACATATAAGTTTTGTTTAAAAATTCTTTAATTCGTTAAATTTTGAAGATGGATTTGGATGCCGAACATGTTATTTGTTTATTAGGAGCTGTGCTGTGCTGCCAGCTTCTGTTAGAACAAAGGGCAAGAAGACAAAGGCGTTTTAAAACACGACCCATCAATAGAAACAGGCTTTTTGCTTTTTTAAAGTTTATTTTCTTCCTATGAAGGTGAATGATGAGGATCAGTTTTTCAAATATACAAGGATGTCTGTTCGATCATTCAATAAACTACTTCAGATGGTTAGCCCAATATTGAGAAAGAAATTGAAAATGCCCAAAACAATTCCAGAACCTCACTTTTTAAAACCAAAACAAAAACAACGCCAGCGGCCATTGCCCTGTAGGGGGAATCACAAAGGTTACTTTTTAACACGAGAACCGACGATTGTCTCCGAATCCGTATCAGTAACCGTAAGAGATCCCAAGTTATAAATCCAGCTTTAGACGTTGCTAAATATGTATATTATTTTATTGATAGACTGTTAATTCTCCATGACAACAATAGACCTATGCTAATTCTTAAGTACAAATTACAATAAGGTATTATCAGGTGTATAAGAATCCCCACATATCTGCTCCAGATCATTAGCGTAACTTGACATCAGGGGGCCTCGGTGCAAGATTAGATCAGCCCGCCCGCCATTGACCCCGCCAGAGTTTTCTTTGGGTGCCACGCCCAAAAACGGTAATTTTAACCCGGCATTACACGCGCCAAAAAAATTACGTCGTTACACGCGTTCGGTCGGGACCGACTGCCCAAAAGTTCACATGAATTATTAGCTTTTTTCGCGGAAACGATCCCAAACGTATCCTGAACCCTAAGGCATGACCTACGCAAGTTTTCTAATCAATAGAGACATGAAACTTTCAAATATTACCTACGGAAGTCATGCCTTAGCGTTCAGGATACGTTAAGGACCGTCTCCGCGAAAAAAGTGTACAAGCACTATAATTCCTAGAATTCATAAGTATTACAAAGGAAATTATATTATGCAGTACAGCCACCGTATTATCGACAGCCAAAAGTACTCCCAATATCAGAAAATGCCAATTTTGAACACAAATATTTCAGATACTCAGGTTCACGCGCCTAGTCAAAAGCACCGACTATGAAAACAACGAACCCTTCTTCAACCAAAAACCAAAATAGCTTTGGGCCAATGGGTAGTGGAAAACCTGCATCAGGCATTCCTGGATGGACAAAACTCTCACCTTTGTACCAGTGGCGTAATTACTGATTTTATCAATAATGGTCGGTTTTTTTGACCGACGCGCGTGTACTCCCGGGTTAAGCCTCCAGTATATTGTGTATTTAGGTGGAAAAGTGACATATTCGAGGCCGGCAAACACCGAAGGCCGAGATTGTGCTTTTCCTCTGATTTGTGCTTTTCCTCTGAAATACACAATATACTGGAGGCTGCAATCGCTCTCTAATGGAAAAAATGAGGAATGCTTCTGTGTTGTTCGAAAAAAAATCAGCACACTTTCCCAATCTAGGCCGGAAAAGTGATTCCCGCGTACTGTTATAATATCCATTGATTCCTTAGCAATCACTTTCCCGGCCTCGGCCGGAAAAGTGATTCCCATACTTTTATCCATCGATTCCTTAGCAACCATTGAAAATACCAGAACAATGAGTTTTGCGACCTGTCAACTGGTCAAAAATTATGACATTTCTTGCCAACCGCAGAAAAACATTTTTTTTTTTCCATATTACATATTACGAATTTAATAAAATAGGTAGGAACTTATGACAAATGAAGGGCCCCTGCGGGGCCCCTCTAGTCTTGGGGGCCTCGGTGATTTGCACCGAACTGCCCTATGATAGTTACGCCAGTGCTCCAGATCTTTGTTCTCCGTGATATTTTGTAATACGGTCGTATCAGTCATAACATTCCTCATCTTAGAAATCTATAGAATATCTGTTTGAAGAATAATATTAACCTTCTGGATCAGCAGTTGTATTCCACCAATCTTCTTGTTTCCGAAATTCTGTCCTTGATCTCCTTCAAATTAAAGGCGTTCAAGCTGTTCGAAAATCCGTTCGTGATCCATTTCAAATAGGAGGCCTGTAACAGG